GCCACGGTCACACCAGGACCGGGGCTCGGCAGCTGCTGGCAGTGAGCAAAACACTGGCTGTTCCCATCAGCCATGGAGGCCTGTCCCTCTGCTGACCAGTGTCACCAGTCCCCTGTCTGCAGCATCACTGGTCCCCCTGTCTCCTTGGGGAAAACCAGCAGGAAAAGCCATCCATGACCCACTTGGGCACCTTGACTGCAGCAAACAGGGCAGGACACAGGGCAGAGCCAGCCTGGGGGGTTCAGAGCCTCAGGACGGTGTCTCAGGTGGGCTCTCTGCAGGGCACCCTGTGCACAAAACCCAACAAACCTCCAGCTGAAGCTGCATAGTGTTAAAAAAACAAGCAAGTTTGGCTTAAAGCCTGAGTGGAAGTGCTGAAGAGAGCTGGCGAACCAGTCACCCAGACCTGGTGAGGGGTCCAGCATGATGTCACTGCTTTGTGCTGCCCACTCCCACAGCACCGCGCTCCTGCTGCGACACAGGGCGGGGGGAGCCCATTCCCATGGGAATGCTTGGGGTGTCATTCCCCAGCCCCCATCCGGAGGTGTCCCCTGCAGATGCCCAGAGCTGGGGGCAGCCACTCGTGAGCAGACGGGGCAGAGTGGCAGGGCCGGGGGGGGGGGGGGGATGATGCCAGAGGCGATGATGGGGGGGGTGGACGCCGGCCTGACCACCTCTGACACCGTCCGTCTCAGCTTCACCTGCGGCTTCTGGGTCTCCAGCTCCTCCGACTCGGCCTTCTGCAAGGGGTCGGCAGGTGGTGAGGGCTCTGGGGGTCGTTCCAGGGCTGGTCTCTCCAACAGGGACCCGCTGGGTCCATCCCGTGGTTCCCTACCTTCATGAACCCGGGCTCCTTCTTGCTGGTGACGATGCCGTCGCCGCTGCGGGTCGTGGTCAGCCCGTGGGAGGAGGGGAAGCTCCGGCGGGGAGGAGGAGGGGGAGGAGATTTGGAAGGTTTCTCGGTCCGGTATCGCGGCACCGTCAGCTCGGCCTGGCACCAA